AGAGCACAGGGTCTGGAAATAAACCTGTGTCTGTGGTGAATAAACTCGCACTGGTGGCCAGACAGTTCAATGGGAGTAATTAGTATAGTGCTTTAACAGATGGTGCTGGGGCAAAGATGAAACTTTGACTCTTACCTCAAACCATATGCAAAAATTAAGAAGTGGATGGTTGACCTGTATATCACAGCTGAAAACTGAAAGAAGTAAACAGGAGAAAATCCCGCCACCTTTACCTTGTTATGTGCTGCCGAGTCAGACCGGACTCGGCGACCCCTCCTTGGGTTTCTGAGGCAGTAGATTGCCCCATCTTCCTTCCGAGGAGTGGCTGGTGGGTTTGAACCACCAGCCTTCTGGTTAGTCTGGTTAACAGTCAAATGCCTTAGGCACTATGCATTACCTTAGGCAAGAGTTCTCAGACCCAAGGCCAAAAGTAATTTTCTCTTCCAAGGACACAATTGAGAAAGTGAAAGACAAACTACTCAACCGAACAGATGTTTCCCATTCATGACAATAGTAAAAAAAAAAAAAAAAAAAAAACTGCCACCCGACTATTTTGCACATGAATTACTATTTTGCACATGAATGACAAACATCTGGCAGGAATGAATGCTGAGGTGTGGGGTATGAGTAACACTGACTGATGGTCAGGGTTCTGTGTCAGCATGGGTGGGCCATGATTCTCAGTGATTTGGCAGTTTTGTGGTGATGTAGTCCTCCGTTTTATCAGAATGCTGGTTTCACAAAGTGACCCAGACTGTGGAATCTAACCATGTTGGTGAGTGAGGAGGAACGGGTGCGTTGCTTATGGGGTACAAGTAGCTCCCACGTAACAATGGAGTTGTGTCCCAACCACTTAATCTCAGGCAATCCTGAGGTAAGTCGATCTTTTTTTTCCCTTCAGTTTTCATAGCCTGCTATATACGGCGGTGTTTGCAACAGTAAATCATAACACTGAACATAGGAGATGATAACCTCAAATTACATGCTGCAACATGGTATGTAGTACACAATACTAAGAATAAGATGTACCAAAAAAAGATGGTCCTGTTAGAGTGGTTTGTCAAAAGCCAGGCACTGCCAGGACTGAGTTTCCGTTGATGATGATGGCATTGACTGATGGCAGGGTTACATAGCAGATTCATGTGATCGCTGTAGCGGTCCAGAAGGGTGGTACACTTGTGTAAGAAGTTGAGCTGCTGAAAGCCGTGTGATGTATTTACACCGACCAACAACAACAGAAGTGTAGCTGCTGCCTTACACAAATGCCTCATGGGATTTGGGTCCTTGATTGGGAGGTTTGGAGCCCTGGTTTCACAGTCCATCCCTGTTAACTAGTCTAATAATTGTGTTTAGCACTTCTGTTCTACCTCCAAGTTGGCTGTGTAGTGGTATTGGCTGAGGTCTTAAAGCTTGCCCATGCAAGGCACAATTGGCCTCTGTTCACCTGGAGCTAGGGGGAGGAGAAAGTCAAGCATAGGAGGAAATAGAACGTGTGAGAATTGTCTCCATGAATAACTGCCTTCCTTGCCAGGAGGTCAGACTAAGTGGTGTCCGGCCACATGACTGAGTATTTTCATCAAAGATTCTGTAGAAGAATCCTGATCAACAGAGAGAAAAGGCAGAACAGAATCTCACATTTCCATGAATTCAGACTGTGGCAGCTTGGACGTCTCGGATGAAGCTCGGAAACTACTGCTCTGAGGTCATCTCTCAGTCTGAAACCAGAAATACCCCGACGTCTTCTGAAGACCAAATAGCAGCTCAGTGCACTAGAAGGAAACGTCTGCCTTGAGCACTGTGCTCTTTTAAGATCTTTCTGTATGGGATCAAGTTGACAAGAGCACCTCCAAAGATTAGATGAGAAGCTGGGGCAGTGAGTTCCATTAATGGACAAGGGAGGAGCAGCTCAGAAAAGTGTGAGGACGGTCGCACGACTCCCATGTAGTCTGTAATCTGTCCCTGAATTGCACATGCACCACTGTTGACCTGGTGCATGTTCTGTGTATATTCACAACAAATGACTGTTTCCAAAAAAATGAACAAGCTGCAGCAAGTACTTCCTGTCACACACCCCATGAGGGACTTGCATCCAGGACATAAAGGAGTCCTGGCTGCACAGCGGTTAAGCACTCGGCTAGTACTGGAAGGCTGGGAATTCCGGCTCAAGCAGCAGCTTCGCTAGACAAAGACTTGGCACTCTGCTCCCCTAAAGATGATAGCCAAGCAAATCCTATGGGGCAGCTGTCCTCTGTCACCCAGGGTGGATGTCAGAATAGTGGCAACATCCAGGATAAGAATACACTCTTATTAATAACTCAAACGATTTCCAAGTGCGCCAAAAACCTTTAATCGACATTTACCAAGGAAAACACGCTCCACATCATTAGTCATCAGGAACTGTTCCAGACCACGCTGTCACCACTTGTTTTTGTTGACAGTGGCCATGAATGGCTCTGCTCAGACACCCAGTGTCAGCAGGGGTTTGGCCAGCTGGCATCTGCACATATTGCTAACCCCAGGGTAGGGAAAATTGGTTCACACAAAAGGCTAAACATGTTGGGGGCATTACTCCTGACAGAAACTCTTGCAGCTTGGCGGGAGGTCCGTTAGGCTGAAGGGACAGGCCAGGGAAAGCCCACGGGCAGCTTCTGGACGTGTGGACAGGCAGCGGAGGTCCAGGCCTTCGGCTAGGGGCGGCCGTTTCCGGGGAAGTGGCTGGTGCGCCTCAGGGCGGCCTCCTCCATCAGCACCAGCAGACACGGGCAGGGCAGTGGTGACACTGCCACCCGCACGCACGCCTCTGAGGTCGCCCTAAGCCTAATCCGCACTTAAGCTCCTAGAAAGCCCTCGGGACAAGGGACAAGGGACGCGCCAAGTGGCACCAAGAGGAGCAGCGCTGCTGTGCAGACGGTCTGTGCTGCCGAGTCCGGGCGCGGCTCTGGGAGAGGCGTCTGGGCTGGGCGCCAGGCTGGGCGATGTTAATGGCAGGCGTTCACTGCGATGGTCACGGCCATGCGCGCGGTGGCCATGACTTCAAAAGATGTGTGTTAAGCACCAAGAGATGCGACCTGCAATTTAAAATGCTTCCAGGTCAGAAGAAAGCTGTATGAAGCGTTAAGAGAGGAACGCAACCAGTCGACCGCATGCAAGGAGCGGAGCGCGCGGGAGCGCGGACACACCGTCTATGCACTCTGACCCATCTCGTTCCAGGCGCAGAGGACAAGAAGGAAGGGCAGCGCCCCGAGGAGCTTAAGCCACCAGGATGGGAGCGCCAAGCAGACACCGCTGGCAAAGAAGGCAGCACAGAGCCGAGGCGGGTCGGCTGCCGGCAACGGGACCGTTCTCCCCGCCAGCCGGCGAGGG